TCACCTGCCGTTCGGTTCGAAAGTTAAGTTTTCATCCCGAGTTCATTTGTTAAAATAAATATGAAAAAAACACTTCGAACGGAAAACGGAATTATTTTAACGTCTGGATCTTTTGAAAAAAAAAAAACCCCTAAACGAGTGGCCCTGATTATAAATATTTAAGCATGGTAAACACATAAGCCTTAACTTGGCTGTTTCTCGAAGCTCAGTGTTTTCCTACATGCCTTTTTCACGTGAAATGAAACGCGACTTGAATATATATAATAAACACTAAAAGAACAACAGCTGATGGAAAATTTAAATTTCATATCTAAAGGCTGTGGATGCAAACTTATTAATGACTCTAAAAAATTAAATCTAGAACGAAATTTTTTTGGAGTTGCGTAGCTTTTCATTTTTCCGGAATCGAAAGTCGAGATTGCAAAATTGAAGTGAAAAGCAAACCAACTGTGATTAACGCCTTAAGTCAAGATACTTTTTTTTCGTCATACAACACTGGGAGTTACATATCGTAAATAACATTCTTCTTTATGCCTTTCCCGGTGTCACCGATGCCTTTCCCGATGCCTCCATTGATTAATATAGCAGTAAAAATATTGCTCCAGTCAAAGCGTTTGGAAAATTGTTTAACTTTTTAAGAATCGAAGTATAACCTAGTAACATTTTGGCTTTACGACACGATTGTTTTTTGCAAGTTACAAAACGTAAATATAATTCTTCTTGGTGTTTTTCCGAATGCCACCGATGCCTTTTCCGATGCCTCCATTGTTTTATGCAGCAGTAAAAGATATATGTGCCATCCACACTCTTGAGAAATTGCTTAACATTTTATTTAACTGAGTATACTCTTAACATTTCGGCTTTACATCACTATTGTTTTCTTCAACTACAACTGATATGTCTCTATACGAAATATTAAATTTGTTTCCCCGCTGACCACTTGTATTTTTATCTCTTCTTCTTCCCCCGCTCGTCGCCCGTGATGTAGTAACTTGCCTGGGTACAGCGGGAAAAAGCTGTCGTGGTGGTAACTGTCCGCTCTTTAGGCTCTTCACCTTCTCTATTTCGATGATTCGTTTCTCCGCCATCATCAATTTGTGAGGTGAAGGAAACAGGACATCGAGATCCGGCGACTTTATGTATTTCAAAGAATCTACCGTGCGGAAACCTCTGCTTTCAAATTCCCCAGCTAGACGCTCGAGTTCGAGTCCATTAGAAATTGAACAAAGCCATTGGTACACTTCACTTTTCGGCGTTGCCATTATGGCGAGAAAAAGCGGGAAATGACTCAAAGATGAACGCAAAATTTTATATTTCAATGCACATCGCAGATTACATACCAGCTTGACAGCTGATAAAACTTGTCAGGCTTGAAAATTTCATTTCTCGGAAAAAAGATAAAAAAACCACGCTTAAATTCAATTTTCTTACATTGTAACAACGAAGCCACAAAGGTTTTTGTACTTATATTTGATGTTTCTACAAAATATTTATACGAAAAAAAATAATAAGTAACAATGCACACTTACAAAATTTATTTTTTATTTTCTGAAAAAGGTAAACCACTAAGTTCTTTGTTTATCAGATGTAATTTTTCTCGAGCACCAAGGCAATTCCAGCTAGTTTATCACGCGTATGATTGCCAGGTACAGATATTCGCATAAAACAAGAAGATCAAAAACTCCTTATGAGTTTCTTTCTATATCAAATACCCACAGTGCCTAAAATATGACATCGAATGTTCTGTTGTGTGATTCTGTCGCATGCTTCGTGAATGGCAATTTCTGTTTCACCCGCAGCCAACAACTGATTCCTGTTGAGAAAAGCCTTTATCTGGTGAAAACAGAGTTCGCAAGTGTTCAAGTGCGGAGAGTACGGAGGCTGGAAAAGAAGATTTACTCCATATTCACCAAGAAGGTCCTTCAAGGCTTTTTCTGTGAATCTCCCGTGATGAAATAGACAGTTATCCATGATAACAGTATCATCCCTTTAAAGGAGAACAGAACTATCCCGCCTCGTTATTTCCACAGCTTCCTCAAAGAAAAACAAGAGTTCGTTACCGTTGGAAGCGCCTTCGACTATATTTACAAAATCGACTCCCAGACAGGAATGTAAAAAATTTATTGTAAAAGTTGCATTGGATGCAAATCTCTGGATTTCAAAGGCAGGAGTCCCGATTATTGAATTTCCGTATCGTCTGTTCATTGTAGTTTTTGTAACACTTGCCTCGTCGAAAAAGTGGATTGTACTGACAACCAAATCACTGACCTGATCAAGAAAGAAGTTCGTACGGGCTTCGATCTCTGCTGTTCTAGATTCAGACGGAACCGCGTGAATTTTCTTTTTTGTCATCAGTAGTTCGTTTCTAACGAATTTGGTAATTGTACTTGGATGAGGCAAGTCCGCTGGGTGTAAAACGCCATCCAATACAAGTCTATTCTGTAATTCGGAGGTATAGATACTAGGTTTACAAATTTTTTCAATTTCAATGCATTCAGCAGCATCTGGAGTCAGAACAGTGTGACCTTTGTAGCGTTTTGGTGGTTGAAAACAGGAGTTTGTCAAATCATAGTCACGCAAGACATTTTGAACAAAACGACGACTTGCCCAAAGTTGTTGTGCAATTGTGCGCTGAGATACTCCATCGTGGTGAAGATCCAAGACCCTTTCGCGAACAAAGTTTGGTAAACGTCTACCGTTATCGAAAAGCCCACCAGCCTGATTGATTCTAAGTTGCACGCGCTTATCCAACACTAACTGCTTCTCAAAAAAGGAAGCGAAGGAGTATATACCAAAGGTCGCTTTTTAATGATTGGCTTACGCAAACCACAAAGGCGTAGAAAAAATTATTAGGGCCGATTTCTGTTTTGAAATTTCAACCGCTCAGGTATCTTTCAATATCGATTGAAATTTGTTCGACAAAGGGCCGCTTTGGTGATCAACATTTATTTATTGACTAAAACTGTACATACAATCGGAAAATCAAACGCGGCCGCTTCAAAATATTCATCGAAATTTTGAATCTGCCGCGGCTGTTCCCACAGTCGAAATTCTTTGTTAACGCATCGGTTTCTGATTGGTTAAAAAACCTCGGGTGGCCCCGGTTGAGGCCGTTGCACTGTAAGCTTCTAGAGGACCGTTGAAAATTTGAACACGTTATAACGAATAGTATGTCAAAAAGTAGTCCTGTCAAAAGACTTTTGACAGGAATAACAGTGATGGTAAAGCAAGCCTAAAACGGAAGAAATCGCCAGAAGCTACAATGGACACACAGGATGTGAGTAAGTGTTAATGATTTTACGTGTAAATTATTCATATTTCGAAATATTTATCGTTGTAAATCGACCATATTTCGTTCCCCATACTATTCGTTATAATGTGTTCAAATTTTCAACGGTTCCTCTCGTAGCTTATCCAGGTAAAATGCCAGGCGGGATATAGGCGGGATCCCGGTAATCCCACCCAGGATCCCAGGTGGGAATGGCAGGATCCCGCCTTAGGTGGTGGGCTCCCACCTTTCCCACCTGGGATGAAAATTTGATCCCACCTGGGATCCCGCATTTAATGCGGGATTCCTGCATCCCACCCGGGATCTTAGGTGGGACTTATGCATTCTACCCGGGATCCTGGTCGAGATTTACATATCCCACCTACGAAAATATTGTTTTGCTGTTTTTCTTCTTACAAAACGTTTTTGTGAGAGTTCCAATACTTATGGATCATCCACACACTCCGCAAATATTTGGCATGCGCACAAGACAGAGGTGGTCACTGTTCCCTTTGAGAAAATACACCTTTTAAATGACTTCTTCAATTTGCTTTATTTGAAACTCTGATCTGAAAATATTTTTAAAACAAGACTTGTTAGTAGTGAGAAGTAGAAATCGAGTTTCTTTTCATAAATTAATTTCTTAAATGTCCCAATCACTGGACCTCCTAAAAAATATTACTTCTTTATATTTTTGGTGCAAAATACAATTCCTTCTTTACATACAAATGAAAAGTACAAGTCACAGTTCAATAATAACAGCTCTAGAGTTTACTTGTTGTTCTTCTCTGAGTCAGCGATCAACAAAATTTTTCTATACCTTGTAGGTCTGGTATAAAATTTTACTTGTAGTATAAAATGACAACCTTGTATCTTCGTTCTCTCCACCCCTTTCCAAGCTCGGTAACGCTTCAGACTGTGCATAACCATTTGCAGACGAGAATTCTAATGCACCTCTGTAATCGCATGTAGTTGCTTCTGTCTCTCGTGCAAATGTTTTCTCCGTTATGAGACGCACTTGACTCTGTTGGCACCACTGCTAGTTCACTGGAAAGACCGACTGAGGAATCGAGATGGCTAGCTGTGCTGGAACGTGTTGCTGAACGCTTGTTGTGGTCAAGCCTTGTTGATTTGGGTACTGGTACACTGGGATCATTTAGGTATCTCTTATACTTCCTAATGTGATTGGCTTGTGTTGTTTCTTACCTTCGCCGTGAACATAACTCAAGTGGGTTTCGAGTCTTTCTTTCCTCGAAAACGTTCGGCCACAAATCGTGCATTCTTGTTCGATTCTTGTCGATTATTTCTACATAGAGTGAATTCACATCATTATTTATGTCATCATCAAAACATGAATCCAAGGTATCCACCATCTAAGAGAGGAGAACCGATCAGAAGGGACAGAATAATGTTGCACGCTTCTCTTGAGACTGCAATGGGTCAAGCCAGCGGATTCTCTTTGCTAAAAGGTCCACGTGATCATGCCCGTGATCGGAAACAAAGAAAACTCCATTTGGCGCTCATCTTTGAATGTACTTTTCATCGGTTAACCGCGCTTGCTTCAAGTTGTTTCTTTTCTCAACTGTTTTGCTTAATATAACACTTCTAAAGATTGGTTTTATTGTGGTTTAATGGGAAAACGAGAACAGCGTGAGTGTTTTAAATGAAAAGAAAGTCGTTGGCGCCGTGGAATTAAAAGAAGGGACAATTAACAGTAGACATATCAACTGGTTCAAACAACGATCGAGTGGCCATTTAAAGCTAGGATTTTTAGAAGTTTGTGGTGAGTACAAATTGCCATATTCGTTACGTGATCAAAATCTTATCAAAGAATAGAAATAACGGCTTGAATTAAGTTTACCTAACGCTCAGTGCAACTGAAACTCAAATAATTCTGAGAATTGAATTGGTCGCTTGCATGCTGCAGTTTCCTAAGCTTACACTTTACAATGAAATAAATCTATGAGTAAGGTTTCAAGATTACTTTAGTCGCATTTGGGAACATTCTGACCTTGCTTTGCTTTGAAAAATTCGACTGAAGAGAGAGCAGACTTTCAATTAGTACCTTTGTCAAAATTTTGATAACATGAATGATTGAGGTTTTGTCTTTCTTTTATTCTTTGATACACAACAGCCAATTTTTTTAAACGTTGAGCCTTATTACACTGTAGATGGTCTGCTTAAATGATGAAGAAAAAGTAATATGCTGAGTTGTGCTGTTATTCTTTAAGAATGTTTGGTTAAGAAATTTGTTACCATTACAATACCATTCATACTTTGCCACTTTCAGATGGAAAATGCAAAGGAAGATCGAGCAACAGCATCCAACTTCACGGCAACTTCTTCACGATCTGCACCAGAGGAAACTGTTCACATCAATTACTCTGAGGTGAGAGAAACTATTCAAAGACTACAGGAAGTAATACCGTCATTGAACTTACTGCTTTATTACAAACCCTTTTGGGCCAATTATTAAAGAGTGTGCTTCTCCCTCTCCCCCCCCGTAGGGCCCTGGCTTTACTCATGATATGTATTATAACAGATGAGCATTATTGAATTTTTTAGGTTGAAGTAAACTTCTTTTGATGCCAGAATATGCCTATGAGGATTGGTAGTTGTCTTTTGAGGGTGCCAGCAAAACAAAGCTATTAAATTAAATGGAAATGTGGAAAGGGGGAATTCACACTGCTTGTAAAATGAATGCAACTCAAGTTGTGTAATATGAAGTACATTTAAACTTTGCAAGGAAGAGGTGCTTCATGTGAGCACTTTACCTTTTACTCAACTATTTGATTTTTAATTGTTTGTTTTTTAAAGGTTCCCCTTGCCTATAGAGGATTAAATGATAGTGTTACTGATCAAGTTTCAAATAGGTAAGTTGTTTTGTCTGAAACTTGTAAACTTTACCTTTTTGAAGCATACTGAAGTTATTTTTTTCTATGCAATCCCATGGACTGTTTGTCAATCAGGTGTAATCCTAAGAAGGACTGTTGTTAGTAGTGCTCACTGATATTTTGCCACTACCTTCAACTGTTCTTATCACTGAGCTACCCCCATGTTATCAAATGTTACCCCCAATTATTCAAAACATTTACTGTACCAATACCATCTATCATCACATTCATTGATTTTTTCCTCTAAAGATCTGTTCATCACAGAAGTTTAAGTAGCTTAGTTTTGTGGCACCCTAGCGTACTGGACATAACTGTTCTGGATTGACATTTTACTATAAGGAAATGGAACAAGAAAAGGAACCTGAGTTACTTTTTTTCTTTTTTAAAACTTTATTGACCCTTTAACTACCAAGATTTCATAAATAATTCTCCTTACTGTCTGCCATACAATTTATATGATGTTAGTTTGGAGAATTTGGCATTGGATTAACCAATAATCCCCTTATTGATATTTTTAGTTTATCCTATTACTTGCCTGCTTGATATCATACTGATAGTGTAAGGAGAAATTCTGTTAAATGCCACACCTAGAAATTTTTTCCCAATAAAAATATATCAGAGGGTTGTAAAAATAGCAGGAAAAGAGATGCTTCCAGAAATGCTGATTGGTACCAAAGTTCTTGCCTTCCATACAAAATGTTTTGCATTTATTAATGTGGGCATCCACAATTTTGAAAAATAACTGAACTTGAAAAATGAGCAACAAAAACCCTGTAGTTCCTTTTAAAGTTCATTGTACTGTGCTGTCTAGTTTTCACAATTCTAACCTATTGAGTCCTATTTTATTAGCATGTGATGGTTGTTTGCTTTATTGCTTGGATCATTAATGGCCATGAAAACTTATAATGGAGCTTTGTAGATGTTTTTTCATCAATTCAGTGTATTTTTTTAAAAGAAATAACTCTTGATACTGTTTAACTTCCAAATATTCATGTGAAATTAATTGAAAGTGAATGTACTGTTTTAATCCTTAAGATATTTCAGGGAAACTATAGTGCCTTATTTATAGCATCTTAATCATCATTAGTTATTATTTTATTATTGATCTTAATGCGAAACCTTAACACTGAGTCTGACTCTAGTTGATGAATTTAAAAGTGTTGCAGGTAAATGGTTATTTTGAGAAGTGTGTTATCTTCTGATATAGAAGTAATGTTTCCTTAGTGTGTTCATGTACATGTACATCACAGGATGAGTCTTTTCTATCCTTTACAAACCCACAGTCATGAAAAGCAATCAAAACTTCAATCCAAACAAACAAGTTTTCTCAAACAATATATAGTGAACTGTGTTGTTTTCTCTTTGTCAGCCCTAGGGATGTTCAGTCTCCTCTTACTACTGGTACTCCTACCGAAGGAGAATGTCAGGGAAGAGAGGAGCACTCATGTTTGAATGGAAATCATCACCAAGGTATAGAAGACTCTCATGATGTTTAGTGATGCTTTTAATGGAAATTTTACTCAAGTATTAAGTAAACAACTTACTTGTACATTGAAAAAACCCACAAAGGTTTCAAACAATTGATTAGATAAAAACAAATTTCCAATATCTACTATGAAAACTAGGTACTATAACTGCTATTACAACTCTAAGGCTTTATCTTTTTAGAATTATTGTGAGGTTTTACTAATTATCACCCAGTCTATGTTTTACCCTGTGCATTTTCAATCTTTTCTCTGGTACACAGTCAGACACCTGAACATAAAAAAGGAATGTTAGATGATAACTGTTTTCTATCGATTGAATGGTAGGTTCCTTTCTTTTTTTCCAGCCTGTTGACCAAATTAAGAAAAAAAAGAAACAATTTATCCCCTTACCTTTGCTTTGCTGATTAAGAAAAAATAGTAAATGAACCAAATTATTATGTTTTACATTCTATATTAAATTACTAAATTCTAATATGTCAAGTAAATTTTGTTCTATTCAATTCACACAATATTTAACTGCTTTGTGATTACTTTCTAACTATCTTATAGTTCATTCGTCACCTCAGCCATCAACAAATGAAGATTTGTGTTCTATGCAAGAAGAAGATCTAGCAGAGGTAAGAAGAAGTAAAACTGGATCGTAGTATTGTACGAAGTTTATATTCTTAGTATTAGTGTTGAAAAGCTTGCGGGAAAGTGCATTACATATCCGTGATAAAAAACATTAGGTCGTTCCCAAGTGGTCAATGATGAATGTTTGAATAGAATGTAGAGTGGAACATGGGATTTCCGTTTTTTCTTCCCTCAAAATCTAAGCTTCCAAAAAAAACAATCTGGTAAATTCTTAAATACTAGGAAAACGTAAGCCCAAGTTTGTCGGTAACAAGTAGCGTATAGAATTACCTATTCAGAGAATTGGGAGACACCCGAGCATTTTCCAAACAAACTTTGCTGAAATACATCAGTAAAAAAAAAATGAACTGCTCTTGTATTTCATGATTTATGGTCATAGTTGATCGATCGAAGTCAATGTCATAGTTATGCCGAGGTAAAGGAGTTGATACCGCTTAATTAAATAATACCGAGTGGGAAATGTTTCGTGATCGATTCAGTCGATTTTTCCTTGTTTTACTGCTAACATTCTCGTGAATGCACAGCAAAAATTTTGATGAACATAGAGTGTGAAGTGCTGAAATCTGGTATATTGTGTGAATTCCGCAGGTTGTTTTTCAAACATTGGTGAACATATATATGTAGTAAAACAAGTTTAGTCCACCAGCATCAGGTTGGACGTTTCCACATGCTCTCTTAATTGGCGACAACTGAAAAGATCCAACCATTCGGTTGAATGATTTAACGACCATAAAACCAAGCTAAACTATCCAAAGAGGTCGAATGTCAAATAACATTGTGAAATATTTATCAAGATACTCGAACAGTTTCTGAAATGTCCATCAGAACTAAAGCTTGATGACTTTTTTTTTCATTTCTCAAGCCATGGTCTACGAATTTTTTTAAAGTACCTGTTACTGGGAACCGTTAGTTATTCCCACCTGTGCTGCATATACATGTAAATTATACCTAGAATATCCGCATTACTCAGCTCACACTAGTATCCTGAAAATTCGAATTAAGAACTGAAGGAGCTTACCGATGACTGTACTGTTTCGATATCGGAGGAAATCGTTCTAAAGAAAGGAATTCTTGTGATGACTTTTCTGGTCTGTTATGAAGACTTGCGTTTAGCTTCTTATTAAATGCTTCCGTAGAAAACAAATCATTTTTAAACTACTTTGCTTTTATAAAATGCCACCAGGGACTTGTTTTAAAAAGTTTAAAACAGTTTCAACGAGGTTTCCTAAGGATTCCAAGAGAAATTCGCCGAATTACAAAAACGTCACAGATACTAAAATTAGGCTTGACATTAAGCTATGCATTATCTGGATTTAAGGTAACAGAGCGGAAACTTTATGCGATGACGTACTAGATTAAGCGGGGAGAGCAGCTTCCGGCTGCCACCTTGGCTCGGGAAAAGTCTGAGCACGTTAAGCTTCCAGAGTGTATGAATGGAATCTCCCAGGATAAAAGCACTCTCTTTAGCTAAGTACTGTAGATACTCCCTAGATATTACGTCGTGTTCGTCAGTATTCAGACTTCAGTGATGAAAAAGAAGGAATCGGTTTGAAGGAACTGAAGCAGGAGAAGGATATATAGAGAATAATACATGGGCGCGCGTAGATATGGAAATTCTCTTCGAGTGTTTAACTCCATAGCTCACGAGTGAGATGTCGAGTTGAACACAAGAAGAAAAATTTCATATCTACAAGTAATCATGTATTATTTTGTTCACCATATAAGCACAATAGCCCTTTACTGACAGGAAAAGTCGAATTTATTAATAAATGGAAATAAAAGGATCGACAATCCCCCAATGAAAATCGTAAAGTGCGTTAGCGCACTCAAAATGAAAACATGCGTTGAATCACTAAAAAGACAATGGGCATAATTTTCAATATACAAAATTTTCAGTTATTGAATTGTTCCTTACCGATAGAAATCCTTCAGGTACACGGCGAAAATTGGCCTATGGTAAATCTTCCAGGTGTCAATTTTCGTTCTCAGTCGCGAGAAATGCCATTGATCCAACATTGCTGCTTTGAATTATATTTTTCTATAATAAATTGCGTTATGTTTGTCAGGATTCAGACTCCAGTGATGAAGGAGAAGGGATCAGTGTGGATGAATTGAAGCAAACGGATGGATATAGGTTATTTGTTGAAGCTTTGGATGCACACGTAAAGGCTAACTCGACTAAAGAGTAATTTATTGCCGAAAGACACTGGGCGCCCTTCTTTGAACTATTTATTTGTTGCAGCGAAGCTTGTAGAATACAGGACAAGAGTTAGATATTTAAAGGCATTCGTTGCCTATGTCAAAAGTATTTTTATGAATGCTGTAAGAAATATTTAAGTATTTTTGTGAATGCTGTAAGAAATATTTAAGTATTTTTATGAATGTTTTAGGAAGGAACTGTTTGTGGGTTTTTTTTTGTTTTTTGTTTTACTGTAGCTCGTGTAAAAATGTCGGTAATTAAAAAAAAAGGAAAGAAAAAGAAAAAAAAATACCAGAAAGGAAAGAAAAAGAAAAAAAAATACCAGAAAGGAAAGAAAAAGAAAAAAAAATACCAGAAAACACACTCTCATTAAAGGACCGTTTTCGCATAATTGTATCACATTCCTTTGTACATTACACATGCACAAGCGTTCTCCGTGATTGTGAAGTTCTTGTTTTGAAAATGACTAAATATTTCGTTAAACTTACCGGAACCAAATTCCTAGTTATGAGAAGTAAAGCTGACCAGTTTCCCACTGAACGTAAATACCTAGCAACACATTTCCCAACATATATGATGAGGTGATAATCAAATAGCATATAGGATGAACGCGATCAGAAGTGAAAACCGACAGGCATACCAGAAATAAAACTCTTCTTCCCATCGGGCCATAAACTTAAGTTTGTCGCCAGCAGGACCTAACATGTGCATCACGAAGTCGAAAATTCTGCAAAACTGGTATGGAATTTTACCAGAAACACGATCTTGAAGGAAGAAAGCATTGTGGGAATAACGAGTGAAACATTCTTGTGAGCGTTGATTATTCTATGCGTGTTCTGCTACGATGATGCGGAATTATTATCAACTTTCATGAGTCAAAAGACGAAGTTTTTCCACATCACAGGTCTTCGTTGTGTCAGTCGCATTTCACTGAATTATTTAATGGATGGAAAGAGGCTGATGACCTGAAGCGTATGGTGCACTTCGTAATTATTTGGTCAGGCAATTACTACTATGCAGGAGTGGGCAGGCGAAACTCAGAAAAGTGAGGGAACAGATTTTCTTTAGGTCACATGAAAGAAGATGTGAAAGCGAAGAACGAAGTTCAATGGGAAAAAGTAAATTACAATGGTGTATCGGCTACAGTTCTCTGTGAATTTCTAGGAAAAGTGAAGTTATAGGTCTCGTTAGATACCATCTTAGTTAAAGAAATCAAAGGAACGCTTAAGCGGTAATGGATTTGAAATGGGTGTTGAGCATGGCTTGTAACTTGGTATGACGAGTTTCGGTGTGCGTTTACGGTTGTTTAACATATCCAGGTGAGACAGTCTAAATTTCCCTGCTGTACCAACATTATTTCACCTTTTTGGCTGTTTGCCAACATTTGACCATCGTTGGTTATTTAAGCTTACGGAGGAAAGGGAAAGTAGGAAGAGTTGTGGATGATCTACTGTTGATAAGAGAGTTAAAGGATGCCGGGGGACTGGTTTGTGACTACGAGAAGAAATACTCCCAAGATTTGTTTACTAAGGTGAGACCGGGTCTCATATGTACGTAATTAGAAAGAAAAGCTAGCCGCTATGCTATAGTGCATTAAACAAAAGCGAATTGATGTATAACTAACTGCAAGCAAAACCATTTAAAACTAAATGGAAACAAGCTGAAATTTTTGGATTATGGTGTTGAAAAAGATGCCTGTTTTTCATTTATCCATTCTGCTAAGGACGAGGGAAAGGCAGTAAACAACTTAAATGGCTTAACAATGGTACGAACATGATTTTCCAGAAAATTTTTTCTGTTATTGCCCATTTATGCACAGCTTCACATACGCATTAATTGAAAGAGGCTCTTTTGATTAAGGTCTTCCCACAGACGTGTAAGAGGGTGTGGTGTAGGTTATTCAACTATTTGCTAATCCTCCCTTTTTCCTTCCCCGGTCAAACGGTGTTTAAAACAAGTTTTTTTGATTGGGGGTCTGCCTCCAATTGCTTTACCGGAGCCAGAGATAGGGGTGAAGGTTTTGAAACATTGCTATTGTCGTAGAGATTGGTTTAACTGCGATACCCACATCAAGTGCATAAGGAGTGTACAGAGTCATGTCCAAAGCTGTAAGCGGTCACAAACCACATACTAAGCTCAAAATAAAAGTGCGAAAAATACGTGCAAATGTTGACCTTCCACAGGTTTGTTTGTTCATAAACTTCAAAAGGATACATGTAGCTGGGTTAGTTTATTGATATTACATACTTTCAGTTTTCTTACTCCTTTACCAAGGACGGAATTCTTCAGAATGGATTATTTGAAGGGAGTTTTAAGACAGCTTTTATTTTGAAGAATAAGAGATGTATTACTTCAGATTAACATATGATTTGAATAACAATGATATTTTGATGTATAGTTTTATGGGGTTTTCTTACTATTCTCAACCAGCTGTAATGTCCTATATTCTAGATATTGGCTAAAGTGACAGAGTCATGTCCTAAAAAATCCTAAATTTAGCTGAACCTTTTATCTGAACATTTATTTTTGCAAACAGTGTCAGAAGGGCTGAAAGCTAACAGTGGAAGGACGAAAATTTAATTACAGCAAATCTCTTATAGAGAGAGTCAGGGGCTCACTGATTGCGCAAAACCGTGGTATGGGTTGGAGCTAGCCTTGATTTATTGTATTCCTGGCCTTGTTCGATTCAATTTTTAAAAAGGCAAATTTACCATATTTCCTGAAAGTCCATTTAAAGGCAGTGAAACGTCTTTCTAAGAATGGTGCGTGAATCAAGTGATATCGATTTGGAAATTCCACCGGCTGACTAAAATGAGACCATTTTAAAATATTTTCCAGTCCATCTCCACCCTTTACTAGCCTGGAATATGTCATAAGTGAAGGGGCGACAGACTGAGTTTTAGGTATGACATATAAAGAATTCGTAATTGCATGCAGAGCGTGTATACAGCCAATTACAAGTTTTTCTTGGAACCATCGAAAACTAAAGCCTAGTCTACTGTTTGTATTCTCCTGTACTGTGTTAGAGATGGCGATTGCTTTTTATGAACAAGTACACTGTATAGGTGGCGTATCAACTGATCATCAGTATTAAAGCCAATTCCTAGAACTTGTTATTGAATTCTGGTGATCGGCCAAAAATGTCAAGTATAGGATGTACTTGTTTGTACACCTTTTTTTGGATTCTTTTATTTTCAGAACTATCAGCTTCTTGGCACTGTTTACCAATTGCATCGAATTTCTGAAAGAGTTCTAAGCATCGCCCCAAATTCATATGAAGACGAGGACCTATTTCTGAACCATCATTTGTTTCATCGTGAAGAAGTTTGTTAACAGGACAGTATTCTGCACATGCGCCGAGGATTGTTGTATTGTTATCATCTCCTTGCTCATTCTCTCGTACAAAGCCTTCTAAGTTTCTGAAAGTGCGTCGGCAATTTCCACATGCAGGTTTGGTGGTGTCACTGGGTGTGTGGGTGCCATAGATCTTTGATGCTTCCGAGCTCCAGTCCTGCGTATCTGCTGTTTCTAATGGCTGATGAAATATGATTGCTTCTCTGAGGCTAGGTTTTCTGAAATCAGCAATTCTTTTGTGCAAATAAAGAGGGCGTAAGAAATCACTTACTGCAATCGACGCGCCAACAAAGCTCTCGCCATTATGTGAAACTTTTGCTAAAACCTTCGGTCTAAATACTTTAGGGAGAGAGCTTAAAAGACTTCTTGCTTGTTCCTTTACTTCTTGGGCATGCTCTGTACTGCCTTTTGGGACACCCTCTCTCTGAGTTATGTCGCTTACCTGAAAGATAAATAGAATTCAGTCCATCGTAGGCTAAAGTTAGCCTGCCTGTAATAATTTTGGGGGACCTCAACCGGCTAATAAAAGGTAAGAGCCATATTTATTGAAAAATTTCCTTATCACTGCGAGAGCTTTTAAAACTTAGTGATTCTGAGTAAGGTACTGTTGTATAGTTTGTACTTAACATCCTATAATGTGACTTTCAATTGAGGCCTTGGTCATTGCTGTTAAAAAGCGTAGTGTTAATTCTCGACAACTCGAAACGTCGCTCACTATGGAACCTCTCAGTAGTTAATTTACTCAACTTTACCCTTCTAAACTCGAAACAGAATATGTGGCAACGGAAGCTCAAAACACAGGATTTTCAGTGTTGTGATGTCGATCATTATTTAATGCGTTATCACGATGAATTAAATTCCACAATACTGTATTGCAGTGCTCTCAGATCCTGCAGTGGAATGTACTTGTTTTGTCAAATTATTAATGTACGGCGAAAGTAAATTGTTTTAACTGTCGTGTTTCTTGGTCAGTGGACCCTTGCTAAATAATCGTTGACCCTGTCGTTCTTGTCAGAACTAAAAGTAGCTAATATTCGTGGCAGAAATTCGATAATATACCTAATATGATATGAAAGACGGATTTTTTCTTATAGAAAACTTGAAAAACAACAAATTCAGTGATAGAGGAACAAACGATTAGACCTAGAGAATCGACTCTATCCATAGTACCTACAAGAAGGCTGTATGGAGTTGTGAGGTGTTTAGCTCCTTGTCTAAATCTAGCATAAACATTTTTAACTCGTGGATACGCGATAGCGTAGAAGCGAGTTGTTGTGGGAACTTTTGGATATCCAAATTAGCGTGGACTCTTCGTAATTTATCGTAATTAGTCGGCCTCGAACTCGAGATCTATCCTTTCGGAGAAGTCCGAAGTCCTGGCGCCATTGTGATTGCATCGATCGTTTATTGTCTTTACACGGCTGTTTGACATTTACTCATGGACTTTGAATGTCTCAGATTAGTGCTATGATCAACTTAAAGACCAAATTTGAAGGGTCTTCGAATCGTCCATGCGCTAAACATAACGAGGAGCAGCAAGAATCACGAAGAGTTTGTGACAGACAGAGAGGGCTGTTGACATGGAAATTCCCACGGAAACATGTACCCATGACATAAAAAAATGTTAATTTACAGAATTATTTTTTTCGTATCAGGGTTTTTTTTTCGAACGTTTCGCCAGCTACGCCAATTTCCGTCTTTTTCTTATGGTCGTTTCGTTTTGTTTTTTTTCTATGCAATGCAAACGTGACTGTTTTGATGGTAAGAGTAAAATATGGTCGGTTTTTACAAGTCGTTGCCGAGCACGTGACCATAATCTGGCCGGTGTTGTTTTGATCACTTGACGATCTTTTTCGCTCAAAACACACGACAACTTCCTATTTCAAGGAATGCTTTTCCGATTAATTTCTATCGCATCCGTGTTAAAAAAATACAAGCATATGTGTGTAATGAAAAACAAAAGGGAAATTCAAAACTACGAGAAATTGCGAGTAATCGGCCTCTTCTGCTACACGCAGGATTTTTTGGTGTAACATGCGTGTGTTTCCTATAAGTTACAAGCACTTTATACACGTGGGAATGCTGCAATCACGGTATAAGCAGTGCAAGCTGGAATGGTTATTGTCAACCTGGAGTGATTATGTGCCATGTTTTGCTTCATCACTCTTTGCCATTTCTACCACTTTTAAAAATACTGATTCCAAGAAAGGGGAAGTGGGGAGGGGTGGGGGGGGGGAGATGAGGGTTAAAATTCCTAGAGATAGGCTAACAATGTGCCGCTGGATAAAGAAAAAGTTATTGCTGTATTTTGATCTTAATAAACGGCTCCCATTCCATTCCAGTCTTGCCCAAAACAGGACAAAGATGGGGTCTATAACTGGCCACATCATAGGCTAAAGTGGGGGTTTCCATCACATACTCAAGTACTATAATTTCTATACTTGTAATACACTGAATGCAGATATGGCGGACCATTCGGGCGGACCGGGCCGAGTTGCGCCGAGTTGTTTTGGTTGTCACGAATGGCTGCACGTGTGCCAACCCAGGACGATATCCCGGGAGCTTTTCTCCTTGGAAGAGAGCCCCACGCATTAAAATGCGAAAAACTTCGTTTTTCGTTCAAATTTAGAAGCGATTCATTGAAGGGGTTGAAAACAAAGACAGCGTTAGTGAAGAGGTAAGGCGCAAGATCGCTTCGTGTTTCGTTATGACTTGTCAAAATATCACACCAATACATGTGAAAAATCAGATTGTACGAGCTTAAAGTAGCTTTCTTTTCGCTTTTAAAGGGTCGAAGAGTATATCAGAACTGGCCGAGACCAAAATATAGTTGATCCTGAAATGCAAACAACACCGAAGGGCGAGTGAACACAACATTTCAGCTACTGTTAATGCACCGCAACCAAACTACCCTTCGGATGGCAAGTCTGGCAATATAAAACGAATGCCTTTTTTCACGCGTGCCGAGATGAGCAATCATATCGCAAAGTCAGGGAATAACATTGATTCAAGCAAAAGTCACTTAGTACCGACTAGTGTGCGAAAAGCTACAACGTTTTTGAACGACGAATATTTAAGAACTTGTCAGCAGCGAGCGATAATACTTATTTCTATTTGCGCTGTCAGTGCCATCGCAACTTTAGAAAAAATCATCCTCCCCACAACTTAAAAGTTGCAGTATGAATTTTTCGTGGAGAGGTCAAGAATGCCTCTTGCTCTTGTGTTGCTTGCCAGGTCGGGTTTTGCAACCATTTTTTTTGGCTCTTTTGTTAAAATTATGCAAGTTTTCATTATATGAGTGTGAAAGTGTGACCGACCTTAAAAACGAAGACAACATGCAGCCAAAACGGATCTGCACATCAACTCTGCAGCAGTGGCATCGCAAGGGAAGAGGAGACTGTATAAATCCACAACCAGTGATGGAAGTGTTGGTGACCAAAACAAGCTTAGAGTTAGACAAACAATCATCATCCAGAGGCTCTGGTCTGAAATGTCTTTTGTATGAGGCCCGAAATAGCCTTAAGGGTCAGCAGGCATCTGAATCAAAATCATTGGAACGGTTAAGAGAGCTTAACCCTAAAATGGCTTTATCACACATTATGACTGCAAGAACTGAGTCAACTACACTTGTCCTGACAAAATTTGGAAAAAGTCCTCAAGGATCCTTTGCCAGTTACCAGCTATCCGTGACTATACAGCGAGTGACTTTCTGAGATCTCGTCTAAAATGCAAATAGCAAACCTTCCTGTCTCGAGTGATCTGCCAGTTCTTTCCTTCGTCTCGTCGGATCGCGTGAATCCACCTCTTCCTTGGTAAAGGATAATTTGGAAATTCAAAAAAAGAAAAATCTCCCAAACTTTTGTGTCAAATACTGCAAAATTGCTCGGCTTATAGGTGAAGAAATACGGTAATCGTTGTTTCAGTAGCAGCGCATGTTGAAATTTATAGTGTTCTGGCGGGAGAGCAAAGCGTGATGCTCTGGGAATAAAAACTCTTGGGGGCCTTTTACATAATATCGGAATGAGTTTTATTCAAGAACGAGTTCATCCCGGTCGCCACATGATAGCAGAATAAAATTCGAAACGAGTCATCAGGCGATCGGTTATGAGTGAGGATGCTTGTCGTACTTTTCAGGGGTCAAAATCAGTGATCTGGTACCTTTTACGATGTCTCAAAACTTTTAGTGGACTACCAGAGACCTAGCTGGTACCTTTAAGGATGTTTTTCGCTCAATAAAATACCTGATATAAGCATTACTAGGACGATTTTAATGATCTGACTTGAGCCTCTGGAGCATATCGATAATGGAGTTTATATTTTTAGGATTTTTTTGTTTAAATTGGTACTTTTTAGAGGTAGACATCAGTTGTAGCCACTCCCACACGGATAAGACTCAGGTACCTTTTATAATTTTATAGATGTCATTTTCGAAATTCTCAGCGCGCATCCTCGCCCACTTATGTATAGGGGTTCCTCGGGGGGTGCTGATAAGTGCAGCACACTTGAAATTTAGCAAGGACAAATTTTGATGTGATTTTCTGTGAAGAGAAAAAAGTTTTGTCAGCAAATCTCCTTGTTAGCATGTAAGATGAAACGCTTATACAACAAATTAATTAGCTAAATCAGTATGTAGCTTGTCAATCGAATTGACTTTTGTGAACATTCTTTGACTTCCGCCGGCAAAGGAATCATTGATGAATCTAGACATTTTAGTTTTCTGAATACAGTAATTCTTGGAAGGTTTTTAAAGATATGCAAAGAGGAAAAAAAACCCCATCTCTTGGTAATTCGGAGGTTGATTCATCTTTGAATTTATGTGTCACACTTGTCATGCAACTGAAGTAATAATGTGGAGAACTTTTATAAACTGCAAATTAAATCTGGCTAAATGTGGTAGAGCATAACTTGGTCATCGAAACAGCTCATAAAATCGTAAATAAACGAGGTAAGAGTATTATGCTAGATTTTTTTACAAATTGTAGTGATTTATGCCAGTAAACGGTGGCGACAAATAGGCACAAGATGTATATTACATAGTCTTTGAGGGCGATTCCGTGAAGGTTTAAATCCGCCTACCACGGTACAGCCGCACAACCTTTTCGCCCAGTGAAACAATACACCGCAATGAGCAATGAACTTAGAGCGACAAAGCTTTTGATCGTGCTGCTAGGCCTACCGTAACGTTTAACACTTATTTCAGGATAGATCTATAAACCTTCCAGTGGATACAAAATGTAACGGAGAAGCGCAAGAAGAAGCTGGTTGCAGCTTAAATTCAAACCATTCATCGTCCCCATCTTTTTCCTTACCAGGAAATGAATTGCTTTCCCAGGTAAGACTGTCGACAATGTTTGTTACCTCGAATTCAGGTCTGAATTCAGGCTCAGATCATAAACTCAGTGTTAAATATCTCTAAACAAATAAGTAAATGAATAAATGATA